AATCAAATAGAGAGTGTGAACATGTGACATGTTGCCCCACCATCGGGTAAGTTGTCTCACTATATGGGGTAAGATGTCACACTGGATTTAGGAAGAAAAACTAGTATTCCACTTTTTAGTTGCGCCCCTTGGTGGAGAAGATAATTGCAATGTGACAACTTACCCGTGTGACAACAAGCCCCGGTCTCCCCTACATGGTTTAAAATGTTTTTTTTTTATATTATAAATGATATTCCGAGAAGTGTCTGTGTAACTATTCTACTGGAACCACAATATCTTTGCTGTCCTGATTCTAATTTAGCTTATAAGTCTGTATGTTACCAAATGTTGCTTATAAGTGACATTGAACTTCACAACCATGAAACTTAATGACAAGTGCTTAAAAAACCCCCATCAGAAATACAGTTTGTGAGCCTATTTGTCCATGTAACCACATGATGTATGGCCATTGATTATGTGAATTTGACAAGTCACACCATGTAACTGCTATTTAACCGATGCACAGAAACATAGTTTTAAAAATGCAAATACATACAAACAAAAAATCCACTGCATATGGAAACAATATACATTTTAACATTTCAAAATAATTAGACTAAGAATCATAGCTTTGAATGTCCAAAATATGTAATAGTGGACTTATTCTTGTTTTATATTGTGCAGGTAGCGTCCTCTAGTGGCTGAGTGTAGATATTGCACTTTAACTATTTGAGTCACAGCATATCTGTAGAATCAATTAATTGAATCCTGCTGACGACAGATAATAACCACTCTTTGATTGATTGAATATGTTGATTTAAATGCAGATACAGTGTCTCCAAATACTTTTTATTCTGTTGCTGCTGTAATAGCTGATGACAGTTATGATAAAAATCCTCATATCCTTTTGTGTCTCAGAGAGTCTTCACAGACTTGAACCCTGTGGCAGGCTGGTGTTTCTCTCTGCATGGTTGCCTCCAGCAGGACATTTCATGTGGAGCACAGTATATACACCTCTGACTGTGAACAGCAGGGAAATAGCAGCAAAGTATGAGGCGTAGATAAGAAACTGAAAAGAAATGAGAGGATTACTTGCACTGTGTATGGGGACTTATAAATTAATGAATTCAATTCATCCAGTTATTCCTTTTCATCCCTTGTGGTCTGTCTTCCTACTGTAATTCATCAAATGCCCTCCAAACAGCATAACTTTGTTCTGAGGCTTTTTATCAGTTCTCTTAATTGTCTTTGTTTCATTTATTTATTTAAATGCAGTTTATTTTATTTTCCTTTGCAGTAATATTCCTCAATTTCTGACTTACTGTAAATACTCATTATAACCCCAGTTTCAAAAAGTTCATGTTACTTATTCTTGTACTTAAAATAAAGTATATGTGCATGTTAAGTACATGTGAACTCAGTGTATGGTCTGTGTGTACTGCAGTACCTGTGAGGTGATGGTGAGCTGTAGAGACTTGGTGTTGATGACAATGGCAGTGAGGACACTCTGGAGGACTGTGCCCACAAAACTGTTTATGCCGAATACCAACGCATAGCGCCTTCTGTTCAACGTCTTGGCTATCTGAAAACTTGGATAGACATATATGACATGCCACACAGTAAAATTAAAGTGCTATTACACTAAGATTATTTCAGCTATTACTAATATTAATATTAATATTAAGGGGTTTGTGTTAAGGACCTATCACAAAAGACAATCAAATATGGCAAAAAATTATCGGGATCAGGATAGGATACATAAAAAAATACATATATTTATATATACTGTTTCAGTTATATAAGAATAAGAGTCTACAGCTATGCTAAGAGCTCTGTTGTGCTTAAAGGCACAATAGCTCTTTGAGCTAAATGCTAACATCAACATGGCATTCTGTTCAAAATGACAATTTTATTGCAACTAATCATTATTTTAATTATAAATTAATCTGTCAATCATCAATTAGTTCTATGGTCCAAAAGAAAATGGTGAAAAATGTTGATCACTCTTTCCAAATGTCTAGTCTTATCCACAACTCAAAGATATTCAGTTTACTGTCCCAGAGGTCCAAAGAAACCAGAACATAATCACATTGTGAAGCTGAAATCGGACAATTTGGACATTTTTTTCTGAAATTTTCAAATCTATCAAAATAGTTGGCGATTAATTTAGTCATCAACAATTAATTGCTTAATCAGCTAATTGTTGCAGCCCTAATGACAATGCTAACATGCTAATATGTAGCAGGTAATATTAAGCATATTCACGATCTATGTTTAGGGTATTAGCATGCTAACATTTGCTAACTGGCATTAAACAAGGTAAGTATAGTACTTAGTAAGTAGAACTGAGGCTGATGGAAATTGCATTAGGTTTGTAGAAATTTGGTCTTAGGCAATAATATTGGACAAAATGTAAATTTTTGACCTGATGATCGGCAAATGAAACATTAGAGAAACACCAAAGTTATTGCACTTCATCCCGAGTTTGCCATGAATTTCTGCACCACATTTCTTGTCAGTTCATCCAAAAGAGCCATTTCACTCAAAACCACAAATTTTAAACTCATGGTGGCACTAAAGGAAAAGTATGGGGATCACAAAAAAATCCCAGCTAGAATACATTGTCTTAAACCATGGATGTATTTATTAAATTTGGAGTCCATTAATTAATTAGATGTTAAGATAGTTCAGAGATAAAAAAGTAAAAACTTTAGGCTCTTTTTGGTGCCTATACAGGAAACGTCAGGGGATTAATAAAGTGTTCCTCTGGTGACCATGACAGCAACCTATCTAACAATTGTAGTGATATTTTTCAGTTTGACTTCAGATTTTCCGAAGCGGTAGACCAGACAGCATGGACGATAGATGTGCCACAATGATAAAAATGAAGGACAATATCTCAGGTTGACTTTTGTTGTTAGTAGTGGATGTATTTATGTCATGCTCAAGGTGGTAACCTTTACATGATCTGAGTGTGAAGCAGTCCTAGAGCCCAAATGACATGAGGAGGCCCAAATAAAAAGCTAGACCAACCTGCTCAAAGGTTAAGAAAAGCAAATCTGTCAATAACTGTGCTACAGTAACATTACAACTTGTTTAAAAAATCTTGTGGTGATGGTGCATTTGTGGCATCACATATTTAAATTCTCCCCGGTAGATTCATTCACACTGATACATAGTATTTGTGGATTCAGCTGCAGTCTCCATGTGCTGCTGACATAATTTCTTACGTGCAGATGGTGGCGAGCTGTAAGTAAATTGTTTTGAAGAGGGAAAAGCATGTGTAGCTGATCCAGATGTTGTCAGTCAGATCCATCAGGAATATAGCTCCAGCAATCAGGAATGTGAAACCTCCCAGGACCAGCTCCCCCCACACAGACCACTCCAGAGACATGTGTCCCACAGCAACAGAGGCTGCAGCTCCTAAAGGAGAACATGATCACTCTATGAGTCAGTACATTACCATAACGTAACTGAGGAGAGGCAAAAAATGGCAAAGAGAGACCTCATGTCTAATTGTGAGAAAAATAATCTCGTAAAAACTGTCAAAACCAATATCTCTCCCCGTTCGTTCTTATTCTTATTCTTTCAGTAATTTTGCTAGAAATTGGCAATACACCACAGGACTTCAACATTTAGTTATGGAAAGGAAATTACACTGCAACGCACACATAATTGCAACTGGGTAACAACAGAAAATTACAGAACAGTTTCAATTAATAATAATGAGAATTAAACTTTTCATTTCACATAGACTTACTGCTTGAAGTAAAACAAACAATATGAATGAATTGGAAAATACAGAAAAAAAACTTTAATATTACGCATAGGTGGCTTAAAGAGTGTATGAGCTAACCAGCAATGGAGCAGGCATCAACGAGAAAGAGCTGTGGTATTGTACACAGACTATATGATTTGATTTAGGGAGAAAGAAATGCCCCTTATGGTTGTTTTATGCATTGTGTGTGATGGATATTAATGCGTTTAGGTTATGTTTTGTGGCACATGTCTTGGTCTGCTGCTTATTGTGTGTGAGACATAAATATATAATCCATTCATTCATCATTAAAATGTATTTAATTTTGTTTCATGGTTCATTACTCATATAGTCTCTCAAAGAGTCCGTTTTTAAAGGGAGAGTTCAATCATTAATGCATGCAACAATGACAATCTTTAGTAGCAGGAAAACATATTATAGATATAATTCCTCTCAGACACTGATATCCAACATTAAAATCCTCCAATAGTTGAACGCTGAGCTTTCCAACAATCATTTTGGAAAACAGTGTTTCTCATTTCAGTCACAAGGTGGCACAGTGTAGCAGTAATGCATCACAGGGCTCCTTTTACCAAATGTGACAGAGTTATGAGGTCTTTATCCCTGTGGATGGATATAAAATCAAGGACTCCAGATAGTGAATCTTTGGAGTATTGATTATTTTAAGACAGTCTTGTCTCCCCTTTTCTTCCCCTCTCTCTCCACCTCTTCCACTCACATTACCTTAACTCACTTGCTACATAATGCATCACATGTTCTCCATAACTACTGCTGCCTTGTCAAAACTTTCTTGTAATTGGTGAAGGTTAAATAAAAACTGAACCTGTCTCATTCAGTGAGGCGAGTGTGAAACCCCTGCATCCCCAGAGACATGGATCCATTCCTGCAAAGCTTTTTATCCACTAGAATATAAAGAGAGGCTATAATTGCCTCTCTCTTTTGAATGTGTACATTTCCTTTGATTCCTTGTCCATTTGTGGTCAATCAGCGCTAATAGTCCAACATGGACACCGCCCGGGCCGTCCGTGTATTTAACATGTTCTTAATCAATCCCCCTGGCTATGATTAGCAGAGGGGGGTCTAATAGAGACTGAATAATCAGACCAGTTTCCACAGCAGTGTCAACTGGAGGCTTAGCAGGGTCAGCCGGAGCCAGCTGTACAGCTTCATGGACAGAGATCAATAATGCAGCTGGGCTCTACAGTATGGTCAAACAGCAGGAGTTAATGTTAAATGCCAAATTGGTGCTCGTATCTCAGTTTAATTGGATAAATGTAATTAAACCCATTTTAAATCTGACAGCAAGAGGACATTAAAGAGATCTTGGATTATAACAAACATCCTGTCATCTAAAAATTACATTCATATCCTATTGCACTGTTATCCAAAATACATTGTGGAGAAAAGGTAAGTTTTCCCTGGAATATGTCCAGTGGCAAGGATGTTTCCAGGAACTCGTACATTTTTGTTGCAGGGAGGTGACTGGGGCAAATACTGTAGTGGGAGACCAGGCTTCCTGTCCTCTGTGGCCAGATTTAAGCTACAAAAACACTTACATTAAGGTTGGAGAAGGATCTTTTTTTGTTTTGGTCAAGTTAGGAAAAGATACTGTAGTGGTGTGGATTAAATTCTGAATAAGTAAAGATGCCCTGTTTCTAACTTTAAGTCACTGGTGACATTTTAAATATTTAACTGAGACCATGATCTTTACCTAACCGTACAATCCTCCCGCCAGACAAGAACATAAATATTTGGAAATTCTGCAAAACCTCTGATTGGAGCTTAAAGTTATGCTTAAATCAGGGCATGGCATGGTTTTCGGTAACCACGCTTTATTTATTCGGCCAGCTTAGATCTACCCATGCTCCACTTAACTGCCCATTTTTGTATTAGCTGGGAGCCGGTGAAGTCAAGACTTTCAGGATAGTGATGGCTAGAGACACCACACTCACAACGGCTCCTCAGAAACCTATGGTTGTGAAACCTTTGGTTCTGAAGAGCCGCCATGTCATGGAGGCTACGTCCATTTTTTAAAATCATATAGTCTAGTACTATCTCAAGACTTCAACTAAATGCGCACTCCATGCCCCCCGGTTACACAGGCTTCCCCTTAAGTATTTGTAGTCTTCAAGTTCAAATTGAGTCAACCCTGACAGCATCACCAGATTCACTGTGGCATCATTAGTTTTAATGTGGCTCAAACACAAGTTGCATGCAGGTCACACTAACATTTTGTTGACTCGGGAGGCACAAGAGGGGAAAAACATGTGACCTCACGCTGTGTTCGGCTTTTCACGCTGGTTAGATAACATCACACTGCATGTGTGTTGTATGTGGGGGAGAAAAATGTGAATTTGCACACTGTGAGCACCGGTGTGTGGCCTAAATCTAAGCGGAAATATATTCAGCATGCAGGTTCATGCCAATTGAAATGCAAAACCTTGGACATCCCTGACCTGGGGAAGGTAATGTCCTGACTGAAGCTGTCTTCTGAATACATTATCCATTGACTTAAATATATGTTTGAAGTGTAAATGACTTGTAATTACTGCTTTTAGACAAGAAACTAATTGATGGGCTGTGGTGCCCTGTAACTTCTTCTCCTTGAAAATCATACTGTACAAAACAATATAACTGAACACAACTCAGTTTGTTCTGCATAAACATTTGGTTTTATCTTAATACTAATGAGCTTCTAAAAAAAATATTGTTTTCAACCTCCAGGACATACAGTTATTAATATGCTGAATATGAAAATAGTAAATTATGTTGTGCTTTTCTATCATATTTTATCATGTTGGTAATCCATATTCATATTTCCCTATCGGTTTCCACCAGGTTTTTCCTCAGGGATGTTTTCTAAGTGTGGAACAGAGAAAATACAACAGGAATCTTTGGGGAAATATCAGACATGGGCCCTACAGCTTGACTGTGTGTTGTGCAGAACCATTTACAAGTGAAAGGCATACAGCTGGATGTGGTTTACACAGAGTAATTGCCTTTGGTTTCTGGGGAATACAGGAATGTATCAGTACTATAATCAATAAAAGTGCACTGGCTGGATGGCAGCAGCTGCTATACCCATCTGGGGATGAGAGTAGGCAATTAAATAGTCTAATTAATGCTGCTCCCATTGTCTGCTGTGCTTTGGGGGTTGTGAAATACTGATACTAGAAAGGGATTGTGTTTTCTTTCTGTCTTTCTGTCTGTTTAGTCAATTATTTTGTGTAGCAGAATGTGTGCAACACCCATAAGCTTTAATGAAAATGTTTAAACTTGTTTTTACAAGAACCTAAACCTGTTCTGTTAAGCTGGATTTGCTGTAGTTGCAATTCAGTTTTCAACAATTCATCTTAGGTTTAGAGTGACAGTGGAGAATCAAACTGTCAAGCATGTGAAGAGTGGGAGGTAAAGTTTTTCCCAAATGTTTTTTTTTTTTTTTTCTTCATATAAGAATAACTTAATACCAATGACAATCAGTGAAGGCACTATTCAGAGTGATAATTCAACATTCGGGATGCATATTCGCTTTCCCTCCAAGTGTTAATTGAGAAATTCGATAACACTATCTGTCTGATAAATACGTATATGGGTATCACCTGCACCTGGTTATCTTAACTCAACATAAAGAGTGAAAACATGGGATAACAGCTAGCCTGGCTCTGTCCAAAAGTAACAAAATCCTCCTACCAACAGCTCTAAAGCTCGTTAATTAACACATCTTGTTTGCTTAATCCATACAAAGACCGAAGAGTAAAAAGTTTACAGAGCGTTATAAGACAGCCTATTTCTTAGCCAAGAGTGTTAACTTCCTGAAGTCACCCTGAGGTCCCAGGCGAGACTGATTTTGTTAATTATAATTTTATTGTATAATCAGTGATGCATTACCATGAAAGAAGCATTATATTGTTGTAGCTGGCAGCCAATTTTAATTACTGTATGTACATTATAGTTTATATAATGATCATAGGTTTTTTTTTATGTAAAATCTTTCTGAAAAATAACCAGCATCTAACTGTCAGATTGAAATAGTTCAGTAAAAATGACAATATTTTTTTTACAAAATGCAATGGATTAGCAGCTAAATGCTCCCCTACATGTACTAGCTAGTTGCTAACTTTGTCTGCTGTTTGGTGCTGGGCAAGTAGCACACAATGGAGTTATCAAAGCTCTCTGCTTGTTGGACACAATGTTGATGAGAGCTCTGAGACATAACCAAGTCATTAAATTTGAAACAATGAGCTAAAAGACAGCTGAGGGACCAAATCATTGTTTTGCAAGTCACAAGTCTCATGTTCTTGGAGTCAAGTCTAAACCGAATGCAATGCCATTTTAACAACACAATGAACAAAGCGAAATTATCTTTGGTATCATTTATACTGACTGGCTCTCAGTAACATCAGGGTGTGAACTATAGGGGAGCCAGGGGGAGGCTTGGCATAGAATGAGCTCTCTGAAAACATGAATTGTGAAATAATATGCTATTTTTGCCATGCATTTCTATTTTTCTGTATCTTCGTCATCATGGCTCATGTGTAAATTCTAGCTTGATGTATGATTCATGCATAAGGGTGATTCATCAATTATTTACTTTCATTAACATTCTTGCCATCCAAGTGTGGTGATGCAATATCTAAACCTCCCTAAACGTCATTCACTTTTAAATAACATACCTTTTAATCTTTGGGTTTGGGGGAAGGTATCAAGTATTTACGAGTAAAAAGGTTCAAGTCCAAGTAAAGTCACGAGTCATTGGTGTTAATGTCCAAGTTGAGTTGCAAGTCTTATGACTTGAGTCCACACCTCTGCTAAAGGATGGTGAGGTTTATCACTGCTCGAGACCTCTTTTATATTAAATGTAGTCATATTTTTTACACAGTAACTTTTCGGTTGCTGTATGAAAAACAAATTACTGTATTGAGGAAACAAAACAAATCAGTGGTGCAGTAGTTACCTGTCAGTGTGCTGATGGCATCCACCCCTCCATTGTAGGCTGTGAAGTTGTTGGGCTGCATATATACCCAGAGGAGCTGGATATAACCTGTAACCTGGTAAAAGCCGCATCTTCCTGTAGCTGCCCATATGCAGAAGAAGAGCACAGCCACAGAGGAATAGCATTTCTTACAGTCCAATATGAGCCCTCTGAACATCCTCCCAACATGCTTGGCAGCTGTCACACTCTTTACCCAGATGAAGAAGTCCTGGCTTTCAGAGCTGTGAGTGTCCTCATCTGAGTTTTCCTGTTGTGCAGAATATGTACCCTTAAGAAATAAACTAGTCTTAGGCATGGGAAGGAATAAGGAGGTGATCAGTGCTAAGGAAACAGAAATGAGAGTTATAAAACCTAAGCAGTACAAGGACACCCCTCCCAAAGACAGAAGCAGTTGAGCCAGCAGGGCACCCACAGCATAGCCCAGCAGTATGGCCCCTCTGACATAACTGGTCACTCTCTGATAATAGCTGGGTGGAACTATGCTGTAAATGTAGGAGAAATAGGCCACATCTGCTGCCATGGCAATGCTGTAGCTGAAGAAGGCCAACTGAGCCGAGTGGACCCCCGAGCCAAACAGTACCAGCAGAAACGCTGTGACATAGGTGAGCCCCTGGAGGATGATTACAGGCTTGTACCTGAGGAAGTCTGTCACCAGGAGGACTGGGATGAGGAGAACCAGGCTGGAGTAAGTCCACACAGGATACACTTGTCTAGTCACCTGGATATGGAGGAAGGCAAACAGAGACCTAATTATTTTTCTTTTAGAAAATAATCCCTAACTGCTGATTGCAGGAGTATCCATAATGACAGTAGCACACCAGATGCAGTTCCACCTCTACTCATTGTCAGTGAAAAATGACTTCTACATTCACATGACAGAACAGGAAGCAACACAAATGAGGCTCATACAATTCTAATACTATGCAAATAAACACAATAGCTTTAAAGGCAGATGCAATTAAGCAAAATATGGTTACTGAAGTTCTCATTAAGTTGTTTTTTGTGTTCCACTTTGGCCTTGAAATAATATTCAAAGATTAATTTTTATGGCAGTGGCTTGAAGTCCCCCTCCACTCAAAAATATAAAAATATAAATGTTCTCTTGTTGTTTTAACAATTGGATGTGCACTGTGCAGAATGATGTGCAGAGTTTGACAGTAGAATTATTTTTTTTTACATTTTTTGCTCTTTTCTCTTGCTCATTGAAAATCTGATTTTAAGGAACGGGGCCTATAAGCATCATTTGTGACATCACAAATGTAGTTTAGAAGTCGATCCTGGTCCAATTTGCAACTTATACAATTGTGATGTTGAAACAAGTAAAAAGGGGTAGATTCTTTTTTTTAAGATTTTAATGTGGGAATTATAGTCTTTTGTGGAAAAAACATATCAGCCACACACTATTGTTCCATGCAAATTATTTCTTTATGTGTCCTAATACATGTCTCGAGGGGATCTGCAAACCATCAACTCCTGATTAACAAAACAATTTATGTGAATGAGAAGAGCCGGTTGTTGGCGTTCCATGCCATGTGCAGCATGGAATCAGATTGCGGTAGCAACTATTATTGACTGACTTTTTTATTAAAGTGAGTTTGTTTGGCCACAATGCAAACAGACACGTCAGTTGCTTCTCTGTTGTATTTCCTGACAAAGTAGTAGTATTTGCTGTAGTATTTAACTTGCCCTAGCCCTTGCTGTTAGCCACAGGTGTCTACAATTCAACCAGGACCGAAATCTTTAATCTTTAAATTACATTTAAATAATGGTTTGATATTAACTCATTTGTCCCCTGAGAATAAATCCTAATTACATTGGTGTCCCCCTGATTCTTTTTTACTACCATGAGGTCTAACTTTCCTCTTAACCATCACTTTGGTACTGCAGGGGTAGTTACTTTTTCTGTTTTGTCTTTACCAACCAGTAACAACAGCCCTTTTTATTGGACCCAGAAGCTGGTGTAGCAGTTGCTAGAAACAGTTAAAAGGTCCAGTGTGCAACATTTGGGAGGATCTATTGGCAAAAAGTTAATATAATAGTCATAGGTATGTTTTCATTAGTGTATAATGAAATAATAATGAATAATTAGCCATTTTTATCTACAGAGGGAGCGTGTCATCTTCTGCAGAGACTGCCATGTTGAACTGCCGTGTTTCTACAGTAACCCAGAACAGACCAACCAAGCACTGGCTCTAGATAGGGCCTTTTAAATGTTTTACCAGTTTCGTGGCCATGGTAGTTTTTTCTACACGCTTGAAATAGGAGGGTAAGATGAGGGGGTTGTAATCTGCAGCTATACCACTTGTTGGCACTAAATCCTACACACTGGTCTATTAATGCAACATTTTTCACAACGGCTAAACAAATGTGAATATTAAGTAACACAAACAGACATAGTGCACTAAACTGAGATGACAAGCTAACATGTTTCAATTTGAGCAAAAGATGCACAAGTAGGAGAGAAATTGGGGGAAAATAACACAGAGATGGACTACTGGGTATGCTTGGAGATCAGTTAGAGTCTAGCAAGCAAGAACAGCTACAGCTAAAGTCTGGGCAGTCAAGACAGAGAATGTAAGGCAGAACATGTATGCTGGTGAGTGTTCTGTCTAAATGCACCATAAGACCTCAGGGTTCTTAAGGGAAAACAGGAATATATCTGATTGTTAGTAATCCTCTGTGAAACGACTGCACTATACTTTGAGCATATCATGGTATTTTTTTGTCAATCTGGTATCAAATGGGCTTTGTTGGTATGATTGTAGCAGGAAAATTAATTTGTAGGGCCTGTGCTTTGTTCACAAACTTAGTTAATTTCTATAACTTCCTATAAATCTCAAAAGCCACTCAGGACCACAAGGCGAAAAGGTAATTTGCATCATACATGGTGAAGCATCAGACGAGTACACCTTGAGAGTACCTACAATAATTTGTATGAACAAAAAAGCTCCCTTCTTGCCTTGTACATCACAAAGTGATTGTCATTGCAGAGCTGCGGAGGACTCCATTTAGTTTCTGCCACCATGTGAGGTGTGATACTGTAGAGTAGTTCTCCTCAGACTGTACCAAACAACAGCATTGAATTCACTCAGTGTAGCGATGCTACCTTTAGTTAGACTTCTATTTGTCTGGTCCAGAAAATGATAGTGTATCTTAACGACTGGCCAAATTACTCAGAAATTTTACTTGTATATTTTTGGCCACCGGAGGAGGAATCCTACTTATTTTAGTGACATTCGGAACTTTATTTTATTGCCACCATCAGGTCAAAGTTTCCTTAGCCAAGATGTTATTCAAGGAGAAAGACAACAGCTGTGTCCTTATTCTACACTAGCTGCATATCTAGGCTGACGACTCTAGACTGTATATGTGCAATATTTTGGCAGTCACTGTTACCTTTTCTAAAGTACTAAATGTAAATGTCTCTTTATGGTTTCACTGCAAAGTGTGTCATGTGCACACCTCCACATTCTCAACAATGCATAATTTGGTTCTGAACAGTCAAGCAAGCTTATTCAACTCCTGCCAGGAGGCTGATTTGAAGTAAATACTATACCAAAAATTGTTTAGTAAGTATATAAGTATAATCAAAACAAGCCAATGTTGACCCTGTGCACATTTACTTTCATGTAGCTCAGCGAAGAATAAACTCTACAAGAATGGCAAAATATTTACAAAATTACCAACATAGTTTGTTGTTTCATGTAGTAAACTCTCATAGTTCAGAGGAAAGACAGAAGGAAAGCCTGAAAAGCTCATCTCCAATTCAAACAAACTAGAGGCATGATTATTAGAGGCATGACCATCTGAAGGTCACTGAAGCGATAAACAGCGTATTAATAAGTCATAATGGTTGGATAATGCTTTCTAATCACTTTAAATGAGTTCAATGTTCAATTTAGATACATTTTATTTACATTTTATATTTACTTATATATTGAATTTGTAACCAGTTATTTGAAATGCATTACATTAACACAACTAATTACTGTAGTTCTGAGTATACATGAACAAATATATAAATTTATGAATTAAACATCCATTATTATTGTTATTCATACTTCCTATTTACATAACTTTGTTCACATGTATCTACATTATTCATATGATTTATATTAAAATAAAAAGAGCAAATCTAATAACCTAAGGCTTCCATCACTGTACAGCAGTCACATATCTAATTTCATAGCTCAGTACCTCACCTGCTCGGTGGTGAGATTCTTGTAAGTTCCTGTGAGAAACTCTGTCAGGAAGGGCTCTATGGGCCTCATCATGGAGCAGAAACCATAGATGCAGAGCAGCACAGTGGGGCCCACCCAACCAGCACGGCAGGGCACATAATGGCCTGCCCAGCAAGGCCTGTTGCCACACTCCCCGCTCCAGCAAAAACCCATCGTTCCTCTGCGGGTCCCTGGGGATGTCTCACCGCGTCCGGCGAGAGCACAGTCTAATTTAGGCAGTTTAATCTGTTGAGATATGGAAGCTTCAGATAAGGCCAAGGTGAGACTGACTGTGAACACCAAGTCACCTGCTTTGCCATTGTTGTTTCTCTCCTCTGAAGTTTTCCTGGCTACGGCAAGACAGGAAAAAAAATGTGAGGCTGTGAGTGAAGATACATTAAGATGAAATATGAGGTGGTGAGCCCCTGGGGCTTCAGCAGGTTATAATAAATACGGTCTCCTCCTGTGTCTTTATACAAAACACCCTCATTCTTGTAGATATTGAGGAAGGGGTGGAAGTCAAGCAGAAGAATATTTATGAGTGTGTGTCTGAGTGCAGGTGTACACACCATCATGCTGCCCCACACACAAAGTGTGTACACACTGTGTGCCTGTTTAGCTTCCGCCACCAATAGCTAGTGTAGTCCAAAACAATGTGAGTGGTACATATATGTTACGACCCGGCTCGGAAGGGGAAAGAGAAGCAACATAAACCAGATGGTTTTGGTAAATTAAAGTTATTTATTAATGTAGAGTTTAACAAAATAAATAATCAACCAACAGAAACGGG